AGAAAAGGTATTTGTTTAGTTCTGAGCACATTGTAACTGATTCCAATGTTCTGCATGGAGAAAAGAACAATTTTCTATTGTAATATGTAATATGTAACCATATAAGCATAATGTTTGTGCATTAGAGAGGAGATAATTAACTACCATCACTTTTACCTTCCTGTCATTAGTAGCACATACGGAACCCGCACGTGGTTGTGTTAAGTTGGTGCAAAAGTAATTGCAGTTTTTGCCATTACTTGAAATGACAAAAACCACAGTACTTTTGCCCTGATATAATATTGAGCAGTTGCAGCCGCCATCTTTACTTCACCTCATGGGAAGCACCGCACGGTGGTGTGCAAACCCCAAGCCAGTGCTAGTTTTTCCTTCTCTTTAAATGCTTTTCTGTTCTGACCTTTGTCCAGGCAGGGGAAGGAGGATGGAAGATAAAATATTGCAAAAGAAATAGTGAGTCCTTCCTGATCCTGGGTGTGGAACCACTCCTAAAACATTTATTCTCTGAATTTGTCAGTTTGCCCAAAAGTCTGTAGTTAAGAGATCTTAGGCTGAGAAGTCTAATTCGAATTTGGCTGAAAGAAAAATATTGGTAGACGGGCCTCACTATGCCCTGGAGTCAAGTGTGTAGGAAGAGCAGATGGGATGTTTTTTGTTTTCTTTTAAATGAAAATAAGGAATGCCTGGGAGAAAAGAGTTAGGGATGACTATGAGACTCGATTTTATCCCAAATGAGATTTTCCCCTTACAACAGTAACCCAGTTGTCCAGGCTTACCACTATCAAATGCAAAGTATGGGAATCACAGATAATTAAAAAGTAATCAAAATATGCATTACTGCATCATGACTGCATGTTCTCTGCCTCCTGTCTGGCATTCTGCATTTAGCAATTGCTCATCATCCTTCAAACCTCAGCCCAAGCATCAGTCAGCTCCCCTAGGAAGTCTGTCATACTCCTGTACTCTCCCCAGCCTGGGGTGAGTGCCCTTCACTGCCCCAGTAAAACCACAGCTCATTTCTTGTTAGGGAGGGAGATATTCCCTGAATAGGAAATACCAATTTTGGACATATTGGATTTTTTTTTTTTTTTTTTTTTTTTTTGAGACGGTATCTCACTCTGTCACTGAGGCTGGAGTGCAGTGGTGCGATTTCGGCTCACTGCAACCTTTGCCTCCCAGGTTCAAGCAATTCTCCTGCCTCAGCCTCCTAGTAGCTGGGGCTACAGATTTGCACCACCACACCCAGCTAATTTTTGTATTTTTAGTAGAGATAGGGTTTCACCATGTTGGCTAGGCTGGTCTCGAACTCCTGACCTCAGGTGATCCACCTGCCTCTGCCTCCCAAAGTGCTGGGATTACAGTCGTGAGCCACTGCGCTCAGCCAACTTACTGAATTTGAAGGGTGTGTAGGATGTTCACATTTTAGCCTTAACCCGTAGAGATCCCCTGCCCTCTTATTCTTTCTCTTTTCCTCTCTCCCTCCGCATGGGAGGCAGCTGCTATTCTGACTGATTCATTGGGCCACATTGCATTAATAGGCAGGGACACAGTTGAAAGGTAACGAGCACTCACGAATGGCCCTTCTCTTCTTCCATCTTCTGCGAGATGTGACAGGGTGGTCCTTCTGATCTTTGTGACTATTTGTGTAAGTGGATTTGGGAATCTTCCCCAGAAACCTTACTTTTCCTGTCACTCTCCACTAGGCTGCTGAGATTTGGTTTGGAAACAGAGGTGCTCTAGAGGCTCGGGCTGCAGTCAGGCGCCCTGACTCAGACTCAGCTCACCAGGCAGCCCTACATTCAGGCCTCGCTGGATGCGTGTTCACCTGGCTCTGTTTCCTGTTTGGCAATTGACTATTGCACGTACAGCTCCTTTGTCAGGAAACTGCAAAGGGAATCATGAAGAGTGGGAAGTTCTAGCACCTAACTGCTTCTCAAACCCCTGACACTTCCATCTCTGCACTTCCAAAAATGCACTGTAATTATTTGTCTCCCTCGCTAGATGGTAAATTGCCTGAGAAACTATCTTTGTATCCTCAGTGCTTAGTACAAAGTCCAATACATATTAGGTAATGAAAAAATGTTAATAAATGAGTTTGGCCATTCTTAGACCTAGTTCATCAGTCTAACTTCTGCCACTCTCTCTCTTTTCCTGTTAAGTAGCGCTCTGAAGATTTCCTTCACAAGCTGTGCTAATCCACACAGTTGAGCCCAGACCCAAAACCTCCTATTCCCAGGTCAATCCATATTCTCTAGTAAGCATTTTTGAATGAGTCGGCCCACACTGATTTCCTTTTCTAAATACCTCTTGCACAATTTGTTTCGTTCTTTGTTACTCTCTAATTTGTTTTTAGTGTGGTGCACCAAAGTTCTTTTCTTAACTGGATTACACAACCTGGTCTCTACTTGCACTCACTTCTGGAAGACATTGTCGAGCAGGGCAAAGTTTTCAAGTAAAGGGGAGCTGCTGTCTAGTCCAACGAACTTGAATGAGGTAGGATAAGTCACTTACTTCCTGTAGGCCTTTCTGTGAAAATTGAGGGAATAATCATCTGCTTGAATATGTCTTGGTGGTTGCAGGAATCAAAATAAAAACATGATGGCACCTGCAAAAAAAAAATGTGCACACCTTATACCTCACAGATGATGGGCTAGAGCTAGGGTCAGAGGAGACCTTAATAAATGCTGATGGGTCTACTTGATAATGATCACATCGCTCATAGGGATCTCATGAATGAAGGCTGAATTGTTCTCACTGTAACTCTAGTGACTGTTACTACTATTATTTGCAATGACAGCTGAGTGATCCAGTGCCTTTAAACTTATTCTAAAACCTATTTAAACCTATTTCAAATCTATTCCCATTCTAAACCTGAAAATGTTTGAGAAATATTACTATAGAGAATCTCTTGAAATGCAGTTTTACAGTTTAAAAGTTTGCTGTCATTTTATTCCTTAAAGCAAATTCTGGTTCATTAGGGATTTAGAATTCAACACAGGAGTCATCAGAAACTACATTTTTATCCACTCTTTTCTATTACTTGTGACATCATCTTCACCTGAATTTTGATTCCTGTAAATGTATACATGGAAATTTAGGGAAGAGTAATTATCCCCATCTCATGGGTTAGAACTCAGCCATGTAGTGTATTTGGTCAGAGAGCTTGAAAGTCACTGAGTCAGGTTCATGGGGCCCACACGGTGTGAAGGTTAAGTCCTTCTAATAACATGAGGTGAAGAAGCAGAGGGATCAAGGCCTGGGTCGAGTATAAGTAAAGTACGGGTTGTTTAATGCTAAGTCTTCTAGGCATTTAGGTTTGGTGAGGTAAGAGGTTAAAATTTTTGTTTAAAATCAAGTTCCTGGATTCTCTCTGAATGGTTCATATACATTATTCCTGTTTGCTCCGTGTAATCAAGAGTTCTGTAGTCATGCATCGATTATCAATAGGGGTACTTTCTGAGAAATGCATTGTTAGGTGATTTTGTTGTTGGGCAAATATCATAGAATGAATGTACTTACACAAACCTGGATGGTATGGCTTTCTATACTTCTCGGCTGTGTGATGTGGCCTATTGCTCCTAACCTACAAACCTATACAGCAAGTGACTATACTGAATACTGTAGGCAGTTGTGACATAAGGCTAAGTATTTGTGTATCTAAACTTAGAAAAGGTACAGTAAAAATTCAGTATCATAATCTTAGGGGGCCACTGCTATATCTGTGGGCCATCATTGACCAAAATGTTGTGAAGTATTATATGACTCAATGCGTGGTGATGGGTACTCAGTCTATCTGTGCTGATAGATGAATTTTTGAGTCAACTTGTGTATTACTAATTTTAATAAAGAAAATTCCCAGATATACTAGGTTAATAAATAACTTTGATGTTGTGTAATAAATTATGACTTACTCAACTCTTTTGGGTTTTAAAAATGCTTTACATATTGGTATTTAGTCCAAAGAATAAAAAAATAAAAATAAAGGAAATTTTAGGGAAATTGTGGAACAATTTTATCTTAGTTTCATTAAAGGAAATTACATGTTGTAGCAACACTGACTCCATTGCCTGAAAAAGTTATAATTTTTATATGCAGAGAATATTGTATATTTTACAAGGTTCCCTAGGTCATGATGAATATTGTTATTTGTACATATTTTGGTAAAGTTTTAAGGGGTCACATAAAAATATTTGTGCGTATTTTTTACAGTGTGGTATGAAGTACCACTATGGGATGAGATTCATTTTGTTTGATTTAGAAATGACATATAAAAATGTAATAACATTAATGTTAAAGTAAGCCCATGCAAATAGGCACTTGAAGGAGGAAGTTTAATAAGTTTCAGCTAAATTAATTAACATGCCCCATGTTGTATGAAAAGATAATCATCCCATTCAATGTATTTCCAACTCAAATTCTCGGAGTAGTGAGCAAAATAGATGTATAGACCTCAGCAGTTTGATAGGGTAGCTGCCAAAGACTTACGGCTATTTAAGTTAAAATACATTAAAATTAAGTAAAATTTAAAATGCATTTCTTTATTTGCACTAACTACATTTGGGGGCTCAAAAGCCACATACGGCTAGACGCTAACATATTAGGCGGAGGGATAAAGAACATTCTACAGTAAGCTCTAGTCAGAAAGTCGTTCTGCTGACAGCATTAATTAACAAGGTTAGCAAGGATTCCATGTGAACAGGGGGAAAGTTCAGAAAAATTTCCCAATTAGCATTTCTTTGATCAATATTTTCAAATGCATCTTTATGTTTTACACCAATACACACATACACACACATACTCACACACAGCTGATCTTGATTATCATGAATAATTTTATCGTTATAGCTGTCATAGCCGCTGTTTTAATATTAGTGAAACAAACCCTGAATCTGCTACTTGAGGGAGACTATAATGACTATTTATTTTCATTAAACTTATTATTAATAAATAGTGTAATGAAAACAATCCTCACTATTGTAATAGATTTTTCATTGAGGACGATACACTTTTGAATGCATGATACTTTATTTAAACACACATATATACGACGATGACAAAGGAAAACATTGCAGAATTCAGCACAATGGCTGCATGCATTGGTAGGACGGATGGACTCTCGTTTTACAGGATGAAATATGGGCCGAAAATAGGAAAAGGCCGGAGAGCAAGTTTCATTTTCCATCACCACATTGAAGGGTCTTCAAGCCTGTAAAACATAAGGAGCAAAGCATGTAAGGGAAGCTGCCCAGCTTCCTGAGGTGTCAGCAAGGGTGAGACATTTAGCTCTGAAGTGAAAGATGACCAGGAACAAGCCTCCTGTTGGCATTCTAAATAAGAGGAATATCAGAACGTGAGGCAGAGGCATAGCGTTCACTGCCTCAGCTGAGCAGTGTTGCATGATGTTGACAGGAGTCCCCCGCAAACTGCAGAGGGAGCATATTAAAGGCTCGGTATGTATCAAAGGAGTTGAAGAACATCACAATCCTTTGAAAATCAAAATTACAGAAATCACATGAAGCTGTAACAGGAAAGTTATTGTTCCTCAACTCTAAATATGCTTCCTTTTCTTGCCAGATTTATTATGTAGTACGATTCCACTTATTAGACTGTAATGAGACCTTTATAATAAAATAGCACTCACAGGCAACTTTAAGACTGTCGGGTTTTGTCTCCTTCTAACTACACATGATGGAGCCTGTCAATCAGGGTGCAGTTAATTTTACTTCATGCACTATGTGACCTTGGGCCACAAAACAAAGACAAAAACTAAGGTTCCAAGTAGGTCTGGGTTGTTATTTTTTTAACAGTAAGTAGATATAGCCTACCCTCAAGTTTTCACTGTGACAAACATCATATGCATGCCAGTGAAACACGGAAAGACATTTACTGCTTAGTATTAAAGACAACCCTGACCAGGCATGGTGGCTCACAACTGTAATCCTAGCACTTTGGCAGGTTGAGAAGGGAGGATCCCTTGAGGCCAGGAGTTCAAGACTGCAGTGAGCTATGATTGCACCACTGCACTACAGCCTGAGTGACAGAGTAAGACCCTGTCTGTGAATAATAATAATAATAATAATTTTTTAATTAAAAGAAGACAATGCTTCCAAATTTTCCACCTGCTTCCCTTGCATTCACTATTTAAATCTGTGCTGCTTCCTCCAGGGACAGGAGCACTGGAGTTTTATCCCAGTTCATATCATTGTTTCCTTCAGAGAAAACAAGTCTGACAACTCTATACTAGCACCCTTCATGCTGGAAGGCCATTTCACAAGAGAACTGAGGGAGGAAGTCTCTAGGGAGAACTTGATGGAGAGCCACGACAGTCGACAGTCACACTCACTGAACAAGTGTTCTAGTGACCTCTTCTGGGGAACTTGGTTCTTGACGTTGTAGAACTGAGTTTAAGGCTGCCAAAGATCTGGGTGGACCATGCGCACTATGATCTTACTGTGGTTAAAGACAGGAAGCAAAAACTGAAGAACCAGGAGGTTATGAGGATGTAAGAGGACCAGGCTCCTCTTCAGCAGCACTCCTTGTCCAGGAGGCACCAGAAAATTTTAGCTCAATGGTTAACACTTAGACATTGGTGGGCTCCTCTTTCCAAGACAGACCTACACTGCAAGAAAGTCCTAAGGCGACAGATAAGTTCCTAAGAATACTGTCATTCAGCATGCATTCATTGAATATAATGTATCACTTTGTGACACAAGTTGAACTAAAATATGTCAAAAAGTAATCTGATGCACCTAAGTTATCTACAGCTTCATATAAAACTGAGAAAGTTGGAGTAAAAGCCGTGTGGGATGTTTACTAGGACATCTGGATACTCCACATAATATATAAAAACTATAGATCTTCCCAGACAAGAGATGGACAACTAGTCATTTCAATAAAGCCAGGGAATCACTCTGTGCTCCCTGCATTCCAACAATGTTAGAAAATTCTATATAATTTCTAAATTAAAAGCCAATTATTTTTAACATTGTCAGAGGAACACCAAATGACCTGGTCTGGAAAATGTTACTCCACAGAAGTTTAGAGATTTGCCAATGAGTACATGAAAAGAGAGGTCTCCTCTGCCTGCTTCTTCATCCTCATTCCTTCCCAACCCCCCCCTAGTCTAGAAGCCCCTGTTGCAATGCCTCCCACCAGGAAGCTGTCTCTGAATTCCCTCTTCTGGGCACCTTGAGCTCTGCAACAATGTCCTCATCACAAGCCTTGACATACCGAGTTCTGGGAACATTTTCTGTGCTTTCTCTCATCAAAAGGTCTGAAATCAGTGTCTCCGGGCTAGATCGTTTTCCATATCTGGGAAAAAAAAAAAAAAAAAAAGCCTTTTAAAGCAAGTTTGGAATAGACATAAAAACCTTTAGGAAAAAGGAAGATGGTCTCCTGTTTGGGATATGAAACCTAAATGTTATTGTCAGTTGTTCGTTTGTAACAAGCAATCTAGGTGTATGACGCATATATTATCAGAGACATTATCATAAATATTTCAAATTATGTATATATTTTAACTTTGCTCAAATAATAAATAATTTAGCAGCTTATTTAAACCCAATCGAAATTCCTAGTTAAATTCCTGCTTTTTTAAACAACCACAAATAATATGTATAGAGATATACACACTTTTATAACTAGGTGTCAGGAAATTTGAAAACATGGAAATATGATTGTAAATGTTTCCACAATTTGTTAATTGGCTATCGTTCTGATGATACACAGTGGTTTAAATCTTAACAAGGAGACCAGATGATATTTCAAAGGCAGTCCTAGAAAAAAAAAAAATAGACAGACTGCCATGTAAGACCCACCTGTGTCTTTGAATCTCAATTTTCTCCTTTGTAAAATAACCTCTGGTTAAATCAGAGTCTTTGTGAACATCCTGTATGAAATGTGAGTCACAGTGCTTTCAAAGTGATAAAGTGATACACTCATACAAATTACTGCTGTTGAAATGCATCCATTCTTCTGGCTACCAACAGATCCTGGGTCTTATATTTTTCGTATTTATTCAAGGTGCCAAAAGCTCAAGCCTTCCCTGATGCTGTGATTTTAACCTCCCTGTAAGTCTAAAGGAATCCAACTGGTCCATGGAAATGCTCTTTGTTTGTTTGTTTTTCTCCTATAAGAGGATATGGGAGATGGGAGAGACAATATGTACAGGGAAGGTTTCATTTACCTGTAAGGGTAGTGTATGCTCCCCACTCCAGAACACTACAAACAGGTCAGATGAGTCTATACCAAATTCCATCTTTTGAAGAGGCCACTGGACACCAGTCACCACTTTGTTTACAGATAAATTAACCTGTTATGGATCGGTTAATAGGTCCAATAGCTGAACAAAACTGGCAGAGGATATGCTCTAATTGCCAAGAACAATTATATCTAAATTTTTTGGAAAGATTTTTTTTTTTACTGTCCTTTTGCTGAGACTCAAGGGAAGCAAAAACAAAACAACTCCATGTCCCACTCCCATCATGTGTAAGATTTCCTCAAAGATTTTCTGGAGTCATGATATTAGACTGTAGGCATCTGCTTATACTTATTTATTCTGTCCATCCATTGATTTTACTAATTGTAAAACTCCAGGGCTCATTTGTAAAAACTCATTTATCTTCATCATGCTCCAGTGAGTAAAAGAACTGCCAACCGTTTTCTTTAATTTACCAGTAAAGTACCTAAATCCGAAATAGTAGGATTTGCAGTCATAATCTAGCATCCAGGACAGCATTGTTCACTCTTCTTCCTTCTTTAATTAATTCTGGATCATCCTTCCTCTCTACAGTGCTGTAACTTTCAAAGATTGAGTCCGTAAAGATTCTCAAATCTGGCTGCACATTAGAATCACCTGGGGAGCTTTAAAAACACACTCTAAAGCCCAGGCCCCACCAAGAGGGCCTGATTTAATTGGCCAGGGGTGGAACCTAGCATCAGTGTATTTTAAAAGCTCCCCAGATGATTTTAATGTGCAGCCAGGAAGGAGAAACACTAATTAATCTAAGGCTGAGTTTCGCTGGGACTGGCTATTCTGTGTAGTGGGGGCTTCTCTGGGCATGGTAGGATATTTAGCAGCCTCCTGGGCATCTAAACGCCTAGATACCAGCAGTGCCCACCTCCAGTTGGTAAAGCCAAAAATGTCTCCAGACACTGCCAAATCATCCAGGGAGCATAAAATCACCCCCAGTTGAGAACCACTGATTTAGGGGAATATATAAGTAAATTGTAGGATACTCACACTCTAAAATAAGTAATGCAGCTTCCAGAAGTAATGATGTATGTGTATACTAGGGGTATACACAGCAAGAGGAATATAAGCACAAATTGAGTGCGGGGGAGGTGGGCACAGGGGTGGAGGGAAAGAAAGATAATGATATCAGATTACATTTATGCTAAATTAAAACACATCCACAAATGACCCTGTAATTTTCAGAAACACACAGATGAGTGGGTGCCTGTGGTGAAAAGGAGAAGATGGATGTGCATTAAGAGCCTCTGCTAAGGCGTTTATGTGAAGATGAGACCGGAAACTGTCTCAGAAACCAGCTCATTCCCGTCTAAGCTGAATCTCTTGCTATGAAACCCAAGTCCCTTTCCCTTACGTTTTTTTCTCATCAAACACTGGAGATAACACTGCCTGTTGGTAGTGACAACCTCTGAAGAAACTCAAAAGAGGACTCCAATTCCATAATCCCTAAAAAAAACAGCTTTCAGGAAATGTCCTTAGTTTCATGATTTGTGCAATGGAGATAATTATACTCCTTTAAAAGCTGTGAGGTAAAGATTGAATGAGAAAATGCCTAGGAATCTATTTTAAAATGCTAGAGCTTTATAAACGGTAAAGCTTTATAGCAATCATCTCTGTAAAAATGAGTTCTATATATTATGCTCTAACAAAGGGTTTTCTAGAAAAAAACAGTTCTTTTTGTTTGTACAAGTTCTCTTTGATCTGCATGATTGCATAGCATAGCAAGAATTTGAATCAATTAACTTTCTGGGAAATGTGGAATATAAAATATTATTACTTTTTGCTAATTAAAATGATCAGATTTCAAGGAATCACAAGCCAATACTATTTAATTATGGCATTTTCATGTTTTTCAGATTTTATATAAATTGAGGCTTTTTCAAAAGTTTTTTAAGGTTGTTAAATACCTTTTGGATGAAACAGGAAAGAGAAAACTTTATTTTAGAATTATAAATTCTCCCCCTTTTCAATCCTTTCCAACTACTCTTTGAATTGTAAACAGCAAAAATATGGACTAAATAAACCCCACAATACTTTAAACATATAATTTAAGCATATTAACTAGCATTAATGCTTCTAAAGGGTGTATCCTTTAGATAAGGCCAAATGATTAAAATCATTTAATCTCAGAAATTAATATGTTAAATGATTTAGAGCTAAGATCAACTAATTTTGAAAAATTTAAATCCTATGTAATTCATAAAATAGTTTGGATTTGATTTTTTTCTTGTCGATGTTGAGAGTGAAAATGTGGCATTTCATTTTGACTTTCTGAAAGTTCAGAATAAAGTTTACGATTTCGCAGATTCCATGTAATCCCTGGATTCATCTTAAGGTTACTGGACCAATGTAAGTTTCTTCTTAATGAAATACCAAGTGGGCACTTTCTTTTCAGAATTCACCAGCTCTAAAATGGGGAGTCTCTGCATTTTAGATAAACTGTTTTCAGGCTAAATCTCTAATTATTGGGACTAGGATTTCCAAGTATGAGACTGAGACTGAAAAAAACCCTTAATACAGAAAAAAAGAAAACGCCTGCTTGTCTTTTTCTAAATACTGTCATTCATTTAGCCCTGGGCAGGTTAGAAAGTCTGACAGTGTCTGTGGCAACCCTGCAGTTTATCCCTTGGTTTGGTTTTCTTTGGTGATGGCTGCTTTTCCTAGACACCTTGCTAGCCTTTCTCCCTACAGCATTTCCCTGGCGCATTCCTGCCTCTTTTACTGGGTACTTTCGAGATTTATGGACAGGCCCCCACTGCTATAAGAACCACAACAAACCACGAGAGGCGAGTGAGAGGAGATGACCAGCCTCCCAGCCTGGGGAACCTGATTCTGGGAATCACGACTCTGTGACTGCAGTTGCACAAACTGGAAGGTACTCAGTTTGTGTAGAGTGTGCCCTGCACAAACATTTACCTAGAGCTGACTATGGGCCTGATACTGTCCCACCCTGGGATAGAGCGAAGGAAAAGAAACAATCCCGGTCCCCTAACATCCCCAGGGTCTCCTGGTGTGCAGGCACCGCACTCCTGGAGTTCGTCCCGCGGGCGCACTCACCTCTGCCTGGTGATGAGGTTGATGTAGTGTCGCAGCGCCGAGTAGTATCTGGCCATGTCCTCCGCTGGCGCGTCCTCGCCCGGGTTGTCCGGCTTGGAGGGGTACGCCTCGGCCAGCGCACCCAGGCACACGAGCAGGGACAGGGCGAGGGTCAGTCCGGACAGCCCCAGTCGCTTGCTACCTAGCATCTGCGGGCACAGAAGGCTCAATGGACGGGCTTGGGGATTAAGAGGAACCACGCGCCGCATGCCCTCCTCTGCCTCCCGTGCTCCTCCTCCCGCTACTACCCGCGACCCCCAGTCCGCTCTCGTCCCCGTCCCGCAGAGAGAACCCAGGCGTGGCTAGCACCATCTTGCGGGCTCAGGGCTCCGTCAGCCCTGGACCTGCCCCTCTGCCCCACCTGAAAACTTTGCGCCACTTCGGTCCAAGTCTCAGAGCCAAGAGGCGCGCGGCGAGAGGCGCAGGGTGGGGGCCCCGCCAGTTTAGACACTTTCAAAACTGATTTAGAAGTTCCTCTTGCTGGGTTAAAGAATGAACACTTTTCTCTCGTCTAACCCAAACTCTTGTCTGGGAAGAAAACTTTATTCTCTGTTACTTTTGGTCTGCCTAGCTTCCAGGGGATCAACGCTGACGGCAGAGATCACCTTCGGGTGACGACTGCGTTTGGGAAGGGGAAACAGAATTGCTCCCGGGGCCAGAATTGCTCCAAAGAGATTTGGAGCCCAAGAATCCAGGGAGGCAGGGCGTGGGGCTCCCGAGCGCCAGGGATTCCTCACTCCATGGCGCTGCCTGGGAAACCTTCCTACCGCACACCGCTTTCTGGGCCTCCAGGCGGCGACCCGCAGGGAAACGGCCATCTGCCGTGGGATAGGGGTCACGGGTGTTCCCTCCATAGCTACCAAAAGGTAACTCAGAAGAACCGCTCAGCCGGAAGGGCCCGGGAGAAAGGGCGGTGGACAATCAGAAGGGACCAGAGGGACAAGTGGAATTTAGCTGCCAAAAGGGCTGGTGTGCGTCGGGGCGCGGAGCAGGCACTGTCCAGCGCACAGAGGTTGGAAAGCGGGGCGCGACCCTCCCAGGGTCCCAGAGCTCTGCAGAGCCGGAGGTTGCGCGCCTCAAGCAAGTCCAGGGGCGCCCCGTTCGCTCCCACCCCTAGCCAAACGGTTCGTAGCACTCACGGTGGCTGGCCGGCGGGCGTGGCTGGGCGGCAAGTACTCTGCTGTAGAGCGCGCGTCTCTGAGGGGTGAGAGCCGGCAGATGGGGTGCAGACAGCGGGTCGCAACCGGGCTTTTATGGAGCTTCCTCGCCGCAGCAGGAGGGGCCTCGGGCAATCACGCTTGGGTGACTCCCACCCGCCACTTCCCGCCCCCGAGTGGCGAGGGGAGGGGGCTGGAACCGCAGCCACACGAGTGTTGGCTTAGGGAGCCACCCACACCCCAACTCTCCCGCCCTAAGCACTGCTCCAAGAAGCTGGGCCTCGAGCGAGGCAGCACGCTCCGAGTGCGCTGGACACCACCAAAGCCCAAGTGTCTGCCCTCGGGCAGCGCCTGATCCCTGCTTTCCTTCTTTCCTTCACGCCCCGTCTAGTCCTGCCAGAGAGGCTCAGCCCAGACGATTCTTGTCGCCAGCCAACAGGACTACCAACAAACTGGGCGCCGGAGTAGGAAGCACCTGAATCCTCTCTGTGGTGGCGTATCTCCAGGACCCAAGAGGCATCCTCGCCCAGCACAACTGCGCACTTTTGGAGCGAGGCAACTGGGCGCACAGATTTTTCCTGCACTTGGAACAAATTGCAGGCAGCTACCAGAAGTCTCCACCTAGGGGGTCCCAAAGCTGCTCCCGGCAGAGCTGAGAACTGGTTTCAAGGGCTTCAACGCCTTCCCCCAGCGGGTTTTTCTAGGAGATCAGACCTTTTCAAGTACTCTCCCAGACGCAGTGAGCCATGCTCCGTCGCGACAGGAGTGTGACAACTCAAAATTCCCCAAAGGGGCACACGGTAAACCTATTCCCCCAGTTTGCTGAAAAAGAGCCACGTTTCCAGCTTCTAGAGACTTTTTTAAGCGCAATTTTAAAAATACAACTTTTTTTTCTTTTTTGGTCCGAAGTAACGTTAGTTAAATGAACAACAATTTCTCCCTTATTTGCCAACCCTTGTATAGTCCTATGTACATTCGATTAACGCTGATTGAGAATGTGGGTTTTGATTAAGATAAAACATGTTAAAAACGATGAACATTAATTTGCTCATCAAACGTTAGACCTGTTGAATGAACATGCAAGATACAGAAACTATTATTACAGGATCAAGATTTTATGCAGTGGACTGAGATCTTAAAGTTTCCTGAATGAATGCTCCTGGAAGTCTGAATCTTTCTAAATAAAATGGTATGTTGGGAAATAAAAGCATTAAGTTGGTATGTTATTTTGATGCTAAAAGGACAAGTGATTCTGTTAAACTGACACTTAGTTTTTGTGCTGTTGCAACAGCATTGAATTAAATATCAACTACCGTGAAGCAAACAATCCTCTGTGTGTATGTGTATGTGTGTTTGTGGAATCAAACTATAATGTTAGAGACCAACATCCTTTCACTTGGCAACCACTTCTCTTTATATATTACACAAACACATGCCGGGGACACAAATATCAAGGCTGTCAGAGTTGCTCAGGGGTGCTTACGTGACAGAGCCTTCAGAAAAACTGCAAAACATCTTCTAACTTAGAGCCCTTCCTAGATAAAGGGAAAAAGCTACAGTCTACTTTCAATAATATAGTCTTATTTTAGAGTGTATCACAGATTCATATCAATTAAAACCTGGACTTAAAAGGTATTGAATTTGGGAGAAATTACTTCTAAGGAGGTACACACCGCTGTTGAGGGAATAACACTGTGGAGACTTGATTAATTTAGCTTAAGATAATGTAATTGATACTCAAGAATAAGAACTTATTCTCAGCGTTGGGATTTAGAGAATAAAAAACAGGAACTGATATGCCCTACACGTGCCTTTACATCCTCATTTCCTTTCTCTCCAGTCCAAGCTGCAACCCCTGGCCTTGGGCTCTAAATAATCTGTCTCTCTTAGGGCTTTATTCTGTCAACTACCTCTTCTCTTTCTTAGAGTTTCTTATACCCTCCCTTGGTTTGTAACTTTTCTTGGATTTGTTCCATGAAAAAAAGAAAAACCAAAACCCCCAAATACAAACAAAACCAACTGTTTGCAACTCAACCCCACATCTTCTTGCTGCTGACCCATTTCTCTCCTTTGTTTCAAAGTCAAGTTGTTTATTTTTAACAGCTTTGTTAAGATAGCATTGGGATACTATTGAGCTTGTTGAGATTCGAAAGGAGTTGAATCAGAGGAGACCAGGGAAGGTAATGGTCAAGAGAAGTCAGATAACTGATAAAGGTCCATGTGGTTTGCAATCAGGAGGTCTTACTGATAGCAGGTTCATAACTTGACTCAGATAGAACCCAGACCACAGCGGTATCATGAACAAACCTAAAGCAAAGAAGCAGAGGCAATAAACAGATACCACTGAAATATACAAAGCTACAAATATTTAAAATATTCAATTGGATATATTCTTACACACATGCCCAGGAAGCCATCATTAGAACCAAGAAAATGAAGATACGTATCACTTCCCCAGGTTTCCACATATACCTTTGTAATCCTTCCTTTTGCCTTGTCCTCACCCCCGCCTCCACTGATCTGCTTTCTGTCACTAGAGATTTGTTCACGTTTCCTAGAATTGCACATAAATGTAATTCCCCAGTAAATACTCTTTGTCTGCCTTCTTTCACTCAGCATCATTATTTTTGAATCCACTCATATTGTTGCATATACCAATCATTCTTTTTTATTGCTGGGCAGTATTTCAATATATGATATACTTCAAAATTTTTAATTAATTTTACTGCTCATAAATTGTTGGTTATTTTCACTTGGAACTTCTATGAATAAAGCTGCCTTGACATTCGTATACAAGTCTTTGTGTGAACATAAGCCTTCAGTTCTCTCGGAAAATACTTAAAAGCAGAACGTCTGAGTCAGATGGTGAGTGTATACTGACCCACAGTTTGTTGATGATCTGTTTTTGCTTCTGTTTTGCTCATTTTTTTCTTGATATTTTATTTTGGATAGTCTCTATTGCTATGTCTTTGGTTCACTAATCTTTTCTTCTGCAATATCTGATTATTGCCAGTCCTATCCAGTGAATTTTGCACCTTATACTTGGTAGCTTTTGCCTCTAGAATTTTAACTTGAATCTTTTTTTTTTAATTACAGAAGGGGAATATCAAGCAATGAATCTTTTTTATGTCTTCCATATCTCAACACGTCTGCTCTTTAACTTCTTGAATATACATTAATAATAACTTTTGTACTACTAACACTCATGTCATTTTTGTGTACTTTGGGTTGATTTTTCTCTACATTATGGCTTGCTTCTTTGTATGCCTGATAATTTTTGATAGGATGTCAGATATTGTGGATTTTACCTTGTTAATTTTTTTTTTTTAATATTCCTATTATTGTTCCTGAGCTTGTTCTGAGACAATTAAAAACTTGGAGACAGTTTTATCCATTCAGGTCTTACATGTGAGTTTTGTTAGGTGGGACCAGAGCTGGGGTTTAAGACTAGGTTTACTCTTTCCACACTTTGAGGCAAAAATCCTTTTTTTCCCTTTAACTGGCAACTGACTTTCCCATAACACACACACCTCAAATTGTGTAGCTCTCCCCTCTGGCTGTTGAGACAGGCATTATTCCAAGCCCTTGGTCAGCATCAGACACTGTTTACTCTTATCCTTTGTGTAGTTCTTTTCCTGATCTCAGGTGGTTTGTTCTTGTATAATCATGTGATCAATAATCAACTAAATCCTCAAAGGGGGATACCCTTCAGACTTCCAGAGTATTCTTTCTCTTACCTGGTACTCTTCCTGTGGACTCTAGCTACCCTGGCTCCCCACACTTTCAGCCCTAGCTCCTTAGCCAGGCTGATTCAATTCCTTCCTTTTGGCTGCAGCTTGGATGTCTCCTTCAGGTGGTATATTAGTCGGTTTTCATGCTGCTTTGAAAAAATACCGAAGACTGAGTAATTTATAAAGGAAAGGTTTAATTAACTCAGTTCTATATGGCTGGAGAGGCCTCAGGAAACTTAAAATTATAGTGGAAGGGGAAGGAAGCATGCCCTTCTTCACATGGCAGCTGGAGAGAGAAGTGGCGAGCAAAGACGGAAAAACCTCTTATAAAACCATCAGATCTTGTGAGAACCCACTCATTATCATGAGAACGGCAGTATGTGGATAACAGACCCCGTGATTCAATTATCTCCCACCAGCTCCCTCCCACAGCACCTGGGGATTATGGAAACTACAATTCAAGATGAGATTTGGGTGGGGACACAGCCAAGCCGTATCAGGCAGTGATCTGGGACCATTGTATGGCTCTTCTCTAAGAGATTACTGTCCTTTGCTAATGTCTAATGTTTTAAGTGTTGTTTCATATATTTTTATCTTGTGTTTTAGTTGTTTCAGCAGGGAGGGTAAATCCAGTTCCTGTTTCTTCATCTGGCCAGTAGAGCAAGTCTCATAGCAAGGCTTCTTTGAAAAGATGTTTCTATTCATTGTCCCTGGTTCTTCCCCTTAGGTTTGGTCATGAAGTCACTGTGATCTAGGCTCTGTCTGATTCAAGTTATGAACCTGCTATCAATAAGACCTCTTAATTGCAAACCACTTGGACTTCTATCAGATATTTGACATCTCTTGACCATTACCTTCTCTTGTCTCTGATTCACCTCCGTTTTCTCTGAAGTGCCACTGTCTCCTTTGCTGACTCGCACTTCTGTACCCCTAGTCCTAGACTTAACCTTTCCATATCCTGACCAGTGAAGCTCATCTAGTCCCACAGCTTATGATCCTGAAATCTCTACCTCCAGCTCAGATTTCATAACTGGAATCCAGGGCTATACGTCCAGCTCAGAAAAACTCCATCAAGAGCCTCAAATTTAGTTTGTCCAAAGCGGAGCTTCCATTAACATGAATATCTAATTAAATATCATATGAAGAAAAAATGTTTTCAGAATTCTTCCATTGAACTATAAGGCCCCACATATTTTGGGCCCTGCATCCTCCTAGGCTCATCTAATATAATTTTCTCCTTCATTCCCTGTATTTCTGTCCATTTGTCTTCTTTCTGCTTCTTAAATATGCCAATCAGTTTTCCTGTTTGGGCCTTAGTTGTGCTGTGTCTGCTTTCTGAGGTATTCTCTCTCCCACTCTTTACCTGGCCAACATCTACACATCCTTCTGGTTTTATGTTGAAATGTCACTTTTCAATGGAGGAT